GGAGAGGGAGAGGGGGAGAGAGTTAATGGGTGAATGCATTTCCCCCAGTGTTTGGCACATGGTAAATCGATTACATGAAGATAGTGATCCTTGTTCCCTTATTAGTCCCTCCTAGCCCTTCTTCCTGCTGGCTTCCTCCCCACCACTGAGTAATAGAAAGAACTTGAGAAGTAATTTGGCCTTAGTTTTGTAGATGAGGTTCAAAACATCTTCCATCCTCCAGAAATTCTTTTCCTCTTACAAAATCTCCCTCCCTCGTGCCAGGGAAACCAGGGAGGAAGAAATCTGGCCTCCATAGACCTCTATCAACATCTATGTAAAAAAGGGTTTTCACTGATTCCTTAGAAAACTTGGAATGGAAGTTTATATCCAAAGAACTTAAAATCAGCCTACTATAGTGACACAGCCACATCAACCAAAACAGCTCAATTCACAATAGCTAAACTGGGGAATCAACCTAAATGCCCTTTAACAGATGAATGGATAAAGAAACTGTGGTACATATACACAACGGAATATTACTTAGCATTAAAAGAGAACAAAATTATGACATTTGCATGTAAATGGATGGGATTGGAGAATATCATGCTAAGCAAAGTAAGCCAATCCCCAAAAATCCAAAGCCAAATATTCTCTCTGATGGGTAGACCCATAATGGGCGGAGGGGGGGATGTGTGGGGAGAATGGAGGACTTTTATTGGGCAAAGGGGAGGGAGGGAAAGGGAGTGGGTATAGGGGTAGGAAAGATGGTGGAATGCGATGAACACCATTACCCTAGGTTCATGTATGACAGCATGTGTGGTGCAACTTTACATCTTGTTCAACCAGAGAAATGAAAAGCTGTACTCCATTTGGGTACAATGAATCGAAATGCATTCTGCTATTGTGTATGACTAATTCGAACAAATATAAATAAATAAATAAATAAATAAATAAAGAGGGTTACCGTTGAGACTCTTAGTCTTACCTGCCCCCAGATTGTGCTAGTTCTAGGTCATTGATTTTAGCCCCTGGATTTGTGACTTGAAGTTAATTAATGAGCTGTTATTGTTGTGCCTCATGAGAATATAGGTCTGCTTATTCTGAACTGTCTCCAGTAGAAATCTGTGGAAACCAGCAAAAAAATTCCTTGGAGGTAGCAGGAAGGCAGGAATCAAGATGGCCATCTTTTTAAAATTCTTTTTTTCAGGAGGAAGGCCAGCAACTATTGCTCATCACCCCTGTACCTGAGCAGCTCTAATGCCAATACCCAGTGTGCTAGAACTCACAGGCTGGACCTCATGAGTAGGCAATGACTATGAACATACTCTCCCTTCCCATGGCTGGGCTTTTGCTAGCGATCTGGCAGTTTATTTGTCAATATTATTTGTTGTTAGCTTAATTGTAGGAAAATTGAAAAGTGTAATGCATAGCCATGAAACCCTTAAGGCTGGTTAATCTTTTTGGATTGTAACCAATGTAATTTTTATTAGCTGATCCCATCTTGATTGTAATATGCAGCGCCCTGGAAAAGTTGCTGAAGGCTTCAAGTCATGGTGTGCACAGGGAACAGACAGACTCCATCATCTGCATTTGCTGCCAGAGAGAGAGAAAGGGCAGCTGGGGTTGGGTTGAACAATTTGGTTTGAGATACCAGTGGGGAGAGAAGTCTCTGGTAGGAACACAGAAATGATCCTGGCAACCCCATGAGGGTAGGGGGTAGGCCAAGCCCTGTTAGCTTCTGTGCTTTATATGCTGGGATGCTCAGGCCCAGAAGTGTACTACAATGAGGATATTTGAGTAAGGGTCATAAACTCAGAATCAGGCTCCAGTAGAAAAAAAATGAACACAAATCCAAAAGGCCAAAGAAAACACATTTTCTTTCCATTTGTATTGGATTTTTTTTGTCGGGGTGGGGGGGGGATTGTACCACAGATTAAGCTCAGGGACACTCAACCACTGAGCCACATCCCAGCTCTATTTTGTTTGTTTGTTTGTATTTTATTTAGACACAGGGTCTCACTGAGTTGCTTAGCACCTCACTGTTTCTGAGGCTGGCTTTGAACTCATGATCCTCCTGTCTCAGCCTCCCAAACCGCTAGAATTACAGGTGTGTGCCACACAGTGCCTGGCTGAATTTTTTGGTTTTTTTTTTTAATGATTATTTGGAGAGGCCCTATTCTTCAGTGCTGTTCAAGCATAGTGATACCCCAGATCAAAACTACATCTGTGATTTCTCTAAGAATTTGGAATTTGTAAAGAATGACTGTAATGGTCTCTGGTTCCCCTCTGGACTTTGATTTTTTTTTTTTCTTTTAGTTGTAGATGGACACAATACCTTTATTTTATTTTTATGTGGTGCTGAGGATCAAAACCAGTACCTCCCATGTGTGAGGCAAGCATTGAGATACAACCCCAGCCCCAGAACTTTGATTTTCTGCACCAAAGAATGGAGAACAGGAATCAGGCTCTGTGGCGCTTACCTGTAATCCCAGTGGCTGGAGAGGTTGAGGTAGGAGGATCACAAATTCAAAGCCAGCCTCAGCAAAAGCAAAGTGCTAAGCAACTCAGTGAGACTCTGCCTCTAAATAAAATGCAAAAAATAAAAAATAAATAAAAATAGGGCTAGGAATGTAGCTCAGTGGTCAAATGCCCTTGAGTTCAATCCCCAGTAACAAAAAAAAAAAAAAAAAAAAAGAGGGGGTGGGGATGTAGCTCAGTTGGTAGAGTGCTTGCCTCACATTCACAAGGCCCTAGGTTCAATCCCCAGCACCACAATAAAAAAGAAAGAATGGAGAACACACATTCTCATCCATTGTACTGCCCTTTTTGGGCCCTGAAGTATGAAGGGGCTTCCTTTTCTGCTTTAGTATCTCTAGAGAGGGAAGAGGCTTTCCCCTCTCTTGTACCTCTAAATATCCAATCCAACAATGAGCCCTTTTGAAGAGTGAAGTTGGGGAGCAGGAACATTTGGGATTCTAGTGACATTTGACTGATATTCTTTACCCCCAACTATAGAGCCCAGCAAATGAGCCAATGGACTCTTCCAGATAAATGGGGAGCCTAGAAGTAGCATGTGGGCATTTTTCCTTAGTCTTTTATGAATATAAATATTTAGTGCATGGTGTTTTGTAGAATTAAATCTCTGAGCCTAGATTAGCCTGGTAATATAATTATGTAGATGCCAGGGACGAGATACCTGTGACTGCTGTGTGTCTTCTCATTCAACGATGCCTGTGACGACTTGATGCACTTTAATTTGCCAGGGCAATCATTAATTGCATATGAAACAGTTGGTGTTTGGCTTTAAGGGAAGCTGATTGGGTCAGTCACCGAGTGTTTGGCTCAATGATCTACAGCTGGCTCTTTGCGCCAGCACTCCTGCTTTCTTTTCAAAAGCATTCTCACTCAGTGTTTTGGGGACCCCCTGAGGAAGAGGTTGTGAAACATTGGGGGTTTTAATCTGTGTTTTCCTTTGGGCATTATAGCTTTAATTTTAATATTTTGGATAATAAAGAATGATTTTAAATTAAATTTTCGAGGCTGCCATCTGTGATTGTTTGGACTTTTTCCTTCTCTCTGGCGATTCTTTGACTTAATTCTCTGTGAACAGGAGAAAAGTGACTTGCAAACAGGAGAGGAGCAAGGGACAGCAGAACAACAGGTAAGCCCCTAGAACTTAGAGAAATGGGGAAAGGCTTGGACCCCTGGCCTTTAGCCTAGGAGGCTAGTGGGAAAAGTGATGCCCAGAGTTAAAAATCACAAGTCAACTCAGATGTAATTGCATCATCCTATCATTACCTCTTGAGTTGACTTTGAGAAAGTAACTGCCAAGATTATACCTCAGTTTGCCCATCTGTTATAGAAGTGACTTTATGGATGTATTTATTGTGATGCTGGAGACTGAACCCAGGGCTTCATGCATGCTAGGCAAGAGAAGTATTTGTTTTAAACTTTATTTTATTTATTTTTATGTGTGCTGAGGATCAAACCCAGTGCCTCACATGTATTAATCAAGCACCCTACCACTGAGCCACAACCCCAGCCCAGTGATTTGATTTTATTTTTTGGCACCAGGAATTGGAACCAGAGTGCTTTACCACTGAGCTACATCCCTAGCCCTTTTTATTTTTTATTTTGGGACAGGGCCTCGCTAATTGCTTAGGGCCTCTCTAAGTTGCTAAGTCTGGCTTTGAACTTGGGATCCTCCTCAGGTTCAGTGGCTGGGATGACAGACGTGGACTACTATGCCCAGCCAGAGAAGTGGTTTTCTTTCTTTCTCTCTTTCCTTTTTGTTGGGAGGCGGGGGTACCAGGGATTGAACTCAGGAGCACTCAGCCACTGAACCACATCCCCAACCTTTTTTTTTTTAAATCCACCATCTATTTAGACACAGGATCTCACTGAGTTGCTTAGCACCTCACCATTACTGAGGCTGGCTTTGAACTCACAATCCTCCTGTCTCAGCCTCCCAAGCTGGTGGGATTACAGGCATGCACCACTAAGCCTGGCTCAGAGAAGTGGTTTTAAAGAAAGAAGCAATCAGGGATAGGCTGTAGCTCAGTGCTAGAGTGCTTGCTTAGCATGCATGAGACCCTGGGTTCAATTCCCTAGTACTGTGAAAAATTAAAAAATAAAGAAGTAGCCCAGTGAGGTACCCTATAATCTCCCTACAGTCCTTCCCCTGAAGGCAGCCACTTGAACCCAAAGCGTTATTATTATCCACCGAACACTAAGAGAGCCTGAGCCTTTATGTGTGTCTCCAGATTTTAAACTAAATCTGAGAAATCCGAACTAGACATATGTTCTTCATGTTGTCAATGAAATCAGGAAGAAGGATTTTCTACCCTTCCAAGGAATCTGAGGACACATCATCATCACCACTGCAGACCATGGCATTAATGAGTCAGACAGACAGCACCAGTGAACACACAGACAAATGCTGAGTGAATGCCAGCATAAAATGAAAAAGCACCTGCCAGCAGAGGGGCTGGTGTGACAAGTGGGATAGCAAGGGGAGGCGGGAGCAGGGGGGCTCACAGCAAGGCAAGTAACTCTGCAGCCTCCGCCTCCATTTAGTGAAGGAGACTTCTTGGAGGGTCAGGTGTCAGGTTTTGCATTTGAGGGGAGGGAGAGAGTTTGAGGAGCTGTCCAGGGAGAGCATGATGTCTGAGAAAAAGCCCTAGAGAGGAGAATTTGATGATGAGGCCTGAGAGTGGAGGGATAGAGGGGAGGGGAGGGAGATTAAGTGCAGGAGCAGGAAAAGCCATCTTAAGTGCTCTCTGGAACAAGAATGGGGCACAGAGGAAGCTTCTGGAGGCCTTCAGTTGTATGTAGGTATGAGGTAGCATCAGAGTGATTTCCTGCACATCTGCTGATTTCTTCACTGTCCCCCTCCTCCACCCCAAATTTTGCTTTTATCAAATCCAGGTGGGGCTTTCAGCTACCTCTCTACACCAAAAAGGGTCAAATTCATTGCTCCACAGGTCAGAGGGCAAAGGTTCATGAAATGACCTTGAAGGTCAGGGAGGCAATATTTATGGCTCTGAGAAGGATGGAAGCTCAGGTAAACAAGTATTTATCATGTTTTTAAGACCTCACATGAGCATCCTTTGTCCCACATGACTCCTAGACTAAGAGATAAGCTTGGAATCTCAATCAATCTCTTTTTCTTTTCTGTCTCAAGCACACGCAAAACCACACACACACACACACACACACACACACACACACACACACAGATTCTCTCTCTCTCCTCCTTTTTTCTAAAAATTCTTCTTCTCCTAAATACAACCTTGGTATCCCCCCAATAGTAGAAAACAACCCCAACAAGTGCCTATGAAAAAAGCCTTTAAGACTCATGAATATTTAGCTCGTCCTCATGTAAAATATATGACTTTGTGTAAGGATCAGGCGAACGAGGTGCATGATTTTTTTCTGATTTATGGGCCTGGAGACGGATTATTCATAGCAGAGCAGCTGTGTGGAAAGATTCATCCGCTGCAAAATGTGATTGTACATCAGGCAGTGTGTGGGAACGGAGCTATGACTAATGGCTGCTTTACATATAAATGAGAAGGTTTGTGCTAGGAACTGTAAAAAAATACAATCACTCAGCTGACGGGCAGGCTCCTTATCGTGGGTGCAGGAGAGAGACCACAGGAAAGGTAGGCAAATGAATGCCTCCCCCTACTCCCAAAAGCTGAGCCAGTGGGGAGGGGTAAGAGTCAGTGAGTGAGCAGGAGAGGGGATGGGGGAAGTTTGGAGAAGCAGCCACCTCTCCAGATCAGCTTAGACTCTGCATTTAACTCTGTCTTCCAAGACCCCACTGTGACCTCTTAGGGCTTGTCAGGGCAGAGCGAAGGATCCACAGAAGTGGCTTCCTTGTCTACACACCCAGGGCAATAACCAGACCCCAAACTCTCCTGGGCTCAGAGTTGGGCTGCTGAGGTCCAGGTTCATTTCAGAAGTTAGCTCAGCATGCATTGGGAAAAACCTCAAAGAGAAGGCCTATGTGAACCTGAGACTTCCCTCTGCCACTCCTCTCTCCCTGCTTTCCCCCATCCACTCACTCCTCTCTTGTAGCTGAGACAGGCTGTCTAGACATTGCAGATGTGGACAGATGTTGGGTCTGTAATTTATAACAACGGCCTCCAGAAGGCAATTCCAATTTGTTTCGGTAAGGCTTTGAGTTACAGGCAGAAAAAATATCCTGTAAATACCGTTGACTTACATGGTAACTACACCAAGGGTTTACTTAGTGAGCAATCACTAACTATAGCATAATTACATATCCCTGCAGATTACCAGAGAATTTAGTGTCACTGAGCAGACAATGACCACCAAACCCAGTTTCTGATTTTGGGAGAACCTGGAGAACAAGGGAGTTGACCCTTGCTTTTAATAGAGATCCGTGCTGATTTCTTCAAATCATTAATTAGTCTCCATTTTAAGGGGCCATCCAGTTTTATGTAGAACCTAGATATGTCCTTGCTATTCTAGTGAACTCCAAGGAGGTTGGATGCTTTTTGTTGTTTCCACTGATATGTTTTTGCTTTGTTTTGATTGACCTCAGGGCCTCACACATGCCAGGCAAGTGCTCTGCCACTGAGCCACCTCCACCATCCTCCATTGATACGGTTTTAAACTATGCAGTATATGTGGGTACTCCCAAAATCTTCAGCCAAGCCAAGAGGCTGGGAAATTATCTTTGCCATTATTATAATGGGTCATGTGCTCAGCAACAAGACTGAGAGGCACTGAGCAGTCCTCACTTTCTCCTGGTGACCCATGACCCAGACCAGCAGTGAATCTGACTGGGCCACCCAGGCCCAAGCTAATCCTCGTGAGGACTCTATTCAGATCTGCCTAATTAAAATGGAAAATGCTAAGGTGAATTTCTAGAATAGTTTTTCAAGAATTTCAGTCTGCTTCTTACTATAATCTGGAGTGGTATGCATGGAGGGGAGCAGGAGGCCAATATTAAAGCTAATAATATTATTCAGAGAAATTAAGTGATTTGGCTGTGATCGGAGTCTCTTGGTAGCAGAAGACACATTTGCACTGGAGCTCTGTCATCCCTGAGAACACTAGCCAGCTGGTCCCTTTGGGATTAGGGGATCAGAGTTGGCTGGCAGCTGGGAGCTCAGGCTTCCTTGGATATATAGGGTTACAGCTGAAACAACCATCAAGGTATCACGTCAATCTGGGAATAAGAGAAAGGGTGTGGGGATGAGGGTATAGAAAAATGTGGAAGTCAAACACATCAACAAGTTTGGGTACTATTTTTTTCCTGGTAGGATTGAATCCAGGGTGCTCTACCACTAAGCCTACATCTCCAGTCCTTTATTATTGTTTATTTTGAGACAGAGTCTCATTAAGTTGCCCTCAAGTTTGCTGACCTCAAACTTGTGATCCTCCTGCCTCAGCCTCCTGAGTAGCTTGCATTATGCCTTACCCAGCTGGACACCAATTTTTAAGCCATCATGAATCTCTTCTATTTATTTATTCATATAGTCTTTCCTTCCCCCTCTGCCTGTTCAAAGTTGATTAAATAAAACTTAAGCTTATTATACCTCTAGGCACCAACCCCTGGGTTTACACAGACCATGAAAAAAAAGGACAACTTAAGGACAGATATTGTTTAGAAAATCTTGATTCTTTGCAACTATTATTTTTGTTCTCTTTCATTACCCCACTCTCTGATCCCTGCTTATAAAGTGTGTTGTATTTATCCAACTCAAATGCTGTCTTGCTTCACCTGAAGAAGTAGGTCTGGTTTAGAATGTCAGTACAGCCACAAAACTGCTCACTAACTGGAGGGAGGCCACCTAGTCAAAGGAAGAGAGTTAGGATTATGACCAAAACTACACTTCTCTAGCAAGCATTGGCCAGTGGGTCTGGCCTAGAAGAAAAGGTGTCAGCTGCAAAGGATGAGTATAAGAAGCAATTTGTGTCTTATAAGTTTAAGGTTTTGGATGCAATATCTAAAGAGACGCCTGAGATTTACTTTATGGAGACTTAAAGAATATGAGTGAGTCCTGCCTGCCAGGGACATGTGAGATTTTTGTCCTACTGAGAGATACGGATGATGATGGCCAGGAGCCCTCTAACCCCAGAGGTGCTTCCCAGTGCACCAAGTCTCACACAGCTTTCTGGCAGGAGTGAATATGTGAACTTGTATTACCAACCCTAGGAGGCCTATGGGTAAAAGGAGGGATGCCCTCTGGTCAGGGAGGACAAATGAGCTATAATAACATTAATAGCTAGCATGACTTGAGAGGTTCCTGTGTGCCAGGCATATATTATCTCTTTGATGATACATTCATGCATTAACTCTTTGATAAAGAAAAAAAATTACCCAATGTCAGGAAGCGGAACTGTCCACATAATAAGAAGAAGCAGCCAGGTGCAATGGCACACATCTATAATGCCAGCAACTTGGAAGGCTGAGGCAAGAAGATTGCAAGTTCAAGGCTAGTCTCATCAACTTGGTGAGACCTTGTTTAAAAAAGAAAAAAAAAAGGTGGGGGAGGGATAGCTCAATGGGAAAATGTTTGCCTAGCATGTGCAAAGTCCTAGGTTCAATCCCCAGCACCACCAAAAATTTTAAAAGCTGGATTTATTAACACATGTGTTTACTTACATGAACACATGTCTATATACATCATGCACACATAGTCCTGTGTCATCTGGTGAATAATCACCTCTGAATTCATGAGAGGACCACACAACTCAGGCACAAGGGACATATTTCAAGATAGGAGTCTATACACACAGGAGTGAGGTTCCCTCTTCCACACAAGATCTTCTTCTAGGCCTCTTGGTCAACTAACCCAAGCCTTCTTTGCATCTTGTTGGAGGAAACTGGGCAGGATCGGGAAGGGCTCGCCTTACAGGCAACTCCCAGGAGACATAAGGTCTGGTCTTCTTTAAACATAATCTTCTCGCCCTGGCCAAGCCTGATATCTCAGGTGTCAAGTGTATCTGTGGGAGCCAGGCATGACGATGCACGTCTGTAATCCTAGCAGCAGGGAGGCTGAGGCAGGAGGATCAAGAGTTCAAGGCCAGCCTCAGCGAAAGTGAGGCACTAAGCAACTCAGTGAGCCCCCCTCTCTAAATAAAATACAAAATAGGGCTGGGGATGTAGCTCAGTAGTCAAATACCCCTGAGTTCAATCCTGGTGCCCCCTCCATCAAAAAAAAAAAAAAAAGTATATTAGTAAGAAGGTTATGAGGGAAAAGAAAAGGGCTCTGGATCAGCAGACACACAGATTTAGACCCAACATCAGATGTTTTTCTAATACTGACCCCAAGGGTCCTAAACTAATTGCTTGGAATAAACAGTGGAAAGATATAGAGTTTTGAAGCCAAGAAATCCACATTTGGTGGGCTGGGATTGTGACTCAGTGGTAGAACACTCATCTAGCTCATGTGAGGCCCTGGGTACACTCCTCAATACCACATAAAGATAAATAAATAAATGCAAAAGAAAGAGAGAAATCCACATTTGGCCTGGGGAGGTAGTCCAGTGGCAGAGTGCTTGCCTAGCATGCATCAGGTCTTGGGCTCAATCGCCAGTACCAAAAAGCAAACAAGAAGCCAAGGTTTGAGGCTTTGAATCCTTTTGCACCATTCACTAGATTCTCGTTCATTAATTCATTCACTCAATACATATTTAGTGAGCACTTGCTGTATGTCAGGTGTATGATTTTTGGGGGGCAATCCACTTAAACTCAGCTAGCCTCAGTTTCCTCATCTCTAAAGCAGGGATAATATATCTGCATATTACAGTCATTGTGAGGATTACATGAGATGAGGTACTTGCACACAGTTGACAATAAATGTTTCTTGTTATTTTCCCTAGAAAGAGAACTTCAATTATGATCCTCTAATTAAGTCTCTTTCATTTTCTGGTATTTTGGCCCCAGAGTTGGCTGATCTGCATCTGGGGAAGTTTGGAGAGAGTTTTGTATAGCTCCAGAGGAATTCTTATAGGTAGTGAGTGAGGACCCAGCTTTGCCCTGGAGTGAAGGCACATAGTACAGGTTTGGCACCATGGGCATGTTGTATGCTCATCTGTCTTCCTTCCTGAACTGTGAGCTCTTCATGGTTGGAGACTGGGTCTTCACATGTTTAGCAATGCAACCATAGTGCCTTTGACAGTGCCTGGTGAGCAGAAGGCATTCAGTAGATGTTTGCTAAATGGAGGAGGAAGAAGGAAGGAAGGAAGGAAGGTTTGGTTTTTATCATAAGAGCAAGGGGACACCACTGCAGGGTTTTGAGACTGTAGTAGTGACTTTGTCACTACTTGATTGAGGAGCAGATAGGAAGACCCCTCAAGAGTTCTCTAGGCAACAGATGGCAGTGACCTTGGACTGGGGCAGGGACGGGGTGGGGCTGGTGGTGACAGAGACAGGAATGGATGAGAAACATTTTTTACAGTAAGTTGAAAGGATTCACTAATGGTTTAGGTCCTACAATTGCAGATAAAGGTGAGAAGAAGCCATGAATGACTTCCAGGTTTGTAAACTTGTACTAAGTATCTATATGCTTCTTGTTCACTTTAATGCAAGGTCTTTCTTCTGGTTGACTGGAGAGTTTGGTTCTGATAGCCATCAGAGGTGGATGGATTCCCACTTCCTGCAGAATCTGGGAGGTTCCCAGAGGGTCATTTTCCCAACCAACACCTTGCCACTTAGGCGCTCACATTCATCCTGGAAAACTCACTCAAACCCAAATACACTTCATCCCCAACTCTGGCTCCTCAGACCTACACAGACTTCCAAATACTCCCCACAGACCACTCCATCCTGCCCTTATTTATCCTCCCCTCTGCAAATCCCTCCACACCCCTCCCTTCCCCTCTGTCTTCCCGACCCCCCACCCCAGCCCCTGCCTCCCTCTGCCTCCACTTCACCCTATTAAGAAACAACCACCCCACAGAAGCCCCTGCCCCCGGCGGCTGCTCCCTGAGCCCCGCCCTCCCTCCCTCCTCCTGCTCTTCTCCCTGACAGATGCCTCAGAGCCCCGGGCCGCAGTTAAGGTGACGAGATGCAGCAATTCTTTATGAACATTTCATTCCTGCTCGCTACACGACGTAAATTAGATGGTGTGTTACATTCGGGCAATAAGAGAGATATGTCACCACGACGCTGGCCCATTGGATGGAGAGGGTAATCCTGCCGTGAATTTCATTACTGCTTTTATATAGACAGAATTAGCTCGGTGACAGCGAGCCTGATTGTCTTTCACTAGGGGTTTGGCGAAGAGCTGAAAGGATTTCACCCTGATGTGCACACTACTGAGTGACCCCGCTCACCAGCGGCTCCGCTGATTGCTTTGCACCTTGCAGACACCGCAATTGGCTCAGCCTCTCGCCCGCCTCGCCTCCCTCCCTGGTCCCAGCCCTCCCTGCCTGACTTTTTCTTGAAGCAAGAAGAAAAGAGACCTAATGGAGGAGTCACAAGGTCATGAAGGGAAATGTGTATGTGGGGAGGTGTAAGGTGGCAGGGCTAAAACAAAAACAATCCCTTTCTGGTCAAGGTCTCCTGGCCAGAGGCTGTGGCCAGTCACTCTTCCCTGCCCGCCCCCTTCAACAGTGGGCAAGAAAGACAATGTCCCTGTGGGCAGGGGCTGGCACATTCTCCTAGGTCACCCCAGCAGAGACTTTCAGAGCGGTTGTCAGGTCCCTGTCTGTTTTCCTCATGTGTCTCTAGGTCTTTCCCTTGCAGTGACTCAGGCTTCCTTTCTCATCTCCTAGCAGGGAGAGTTGAAAAAAATAAGAACTAGGATGGTTGTCAGCCCCAGCTTGTTGGCCCAGCAATTCCAGTGTGAAGGTGAGGGAGAAGAGTGAATTTCCTTTGCTCCTTTTCTCCCACACTTCTGATCCTGTCTGGGCCCCACCTGACATTTACACAACACCCTTCAGTGACTTCGCAATCCTTCATAAGAAAGATCTAGATGGCCCAGCCCCAACAGCCTGCAGATGAGCCCAGACCAAGGACTTCTTGTCCTTGTCAGTTTCTGTGGGGGTGGCTGATCAAGAGAGACCCAGGTCCCACTCTGTTCCTTGCTTGGCCTCTGCCCTCTGTCACCTTGTCCACTCCCTTCTCTCCTCTGTTGACCCCTTTAACAACCTTCTCTCCTCTGTTGACCCCTTCTGCCTGTTCTTTCTGAGGCAGCTGGTTGTTCCTGGGGCTGACCAGGGAGGCTGACCATTGCTAGGCCTCTACTCACCACTCTGGCCCTTTCCAGACGCTCCCAGTGAGACTTTCTGATCTTCTATTCCTTGGGGGACTCAGGGACCAAGCATGGAACTAGACAGCATAATCTCCTCAAAGCCTCTTGTCTTTTGGTCAATCCGACACATCTGTCAGGAAAGCTTCTCTGGTGGCTCAGAGCAGTCAGAGTTGTGGCCTCTGTGCAGGGAGGGATTAAGGTCACAGTCTCCACTTTCCAGAGTGGGGGGGAGGGGAGGCATCTGGGACCCTGGCTTTGCTGAGCAGGCCCTCAGAGGCCTGGCTCCAAGTCTCCTTGTGTACAGACAACTGAGCTTCCCCTCTACCTCCCATCAGGGCACCCTCCACTGTGACTGCCGGTCTTTGAGCTCAGGAAGAAGGTCTCCTCTGCGCTTGACCCCTGCCATTACACTGGAAGCGTTTTATGCTGAAAGCTCATCTCAGGGCCACAGTTTCACCCTAACCCTGCTGCATAACAGCTGTGTTATGAGGCAGGTCATCACATCTTTCTGAACTTCAGTTTCATCCCCTCCAAAATGAGAGTGGTAAGTGCCACAGTCTGTACCATGGTACAGTGCCTTCAGTCCTGAAGGACGGACGTTTTCTCTCAATTGCTACCTTTACCTGTCAGGCTGTTTTAGTTTTGCCTCTGCTGAAGAAAGATACCCTAAGGTCATGTTCCTTTGCCAGGGTATACTGCATCCATGACTGGTCATGGACATAGGAATGCCCAGACACTTCTCCCCAGATTTTGTTGTTGTTGTTGTTGTTTACTGGAGATTGAACCCAGGGTGTTTTACCACTGAGCTACAGCCCTTTTTTATTTTTTGTTAAGAGAAAATCTCACTAAGTTGCTTAGAGCCTCACAAGTAGCTGAGGCTGGTCTGGAACTTGTGATCCTCCTGCCTCAACTTCCCTCGTCATGGGATTATAGGGATGCACTGTACCTGGCTGGGGCAATAATGAAGGGCTATCTGGGTTCCAGAGTGCCCCCTGTGGTCAGCTAAGGCCTTTTTGGAGACTACTGCAAGGCCAACTTCTCCCTCTGCCTAGTTCTACTTCTTTCCAGTTCCTTCCCAGAACACTCTCTAATAGATTTCCTGCACAGAAATCTTCATCTAATGGCCTTCGAACCTGGAGACATTTCCTACCATAAATTGTGGGGCTATCATAGAGTTGGAAGTGTTTTATAAAGTATAGTCCTGATGCCCTTTATCATCAACACTATCATCATGGTGGTCATCTTCACAGCAAGAGCCTACCCAGCTAGAATGATGGTGTTAGCATACTTTGGTCAGGAAAGTGATAAATAAATGCCTAGTCTTCTTATTTTACCCTAGGGACAAGGTCCTTTTCATTCTGTCTCTTTTTTTTTTTTAATATTTATTTTTTAGTTTTCGGCGGACACAATATCTTTGTTTGTATGTGGTGCTGAGGATCGAACCCGGGTCACACGCATGCCAGGTGAGCGCGCTACTGCTTGAGCCACATCCCCAGCCCTTCATTCTGTCTTTTATCTTCTGATTAGAATGACCTTCCCACAGGGCAAGGTTGTATAGGCCTATAATCCTAGTCACTCAAAGGTTAAGGCTGGAGGTTGGCAAGTTCAAGGAAAACCTGAGCAATTTAGCAATTAACTGATTCAAAATTTAAAAAGGGCTGAGGATGTAGCTTGGTGGCAGAGTGCTTACAAGAGGTACTGGGTTTAATCCTAGGAACCATGCACACAAAAAAGATCCTCCTAAATTGGCCTTACTTGTTCAAGAAGCCTCACTATGATCCCAAAGATTAGGTATTCAAAATATGGAAGTTGGGGAGCCGGGTGTAGTGGTGCACACCTGGAATCCAAGAAGCTTGGGAGGCTAAGGCAAGAGAATTACAAATTTAAGGCCAGCCTCAGCAACTTGGTGAGACTCTGTCTCAAAATAAAAAGGGTTGGGGATGTATGTAGCTCAGGGATAAAGTGCCCCTGGGTTCAGTCCCCAGTTTAAAAAACAAAAAAGAAAAAGAAAAGTGCTGCAGTCCTGTTACCCACATCTCATTCTCTATTCTAGGAAAGAATCAATGACCTATGTGCCCATAGGATTTTCCCTCTTACACCCTCTGGATATGTTTCTAGTTGGCTTCCTATTCTTTTATTTTAAGCATATATGTCCTGCTCATAGATCAATGCTTCCATCCTTCCATCAGGGGCAGACAGAAAGGTCTCAAGGGAGGCCTGAGAACAGGTTCTCTGCTTTGAGCCATGACTTCCTTCTGGGCCTTGTTTACAGGTCCCTTAAATAAAGAATGTCTAATCTCTCCCTCCTAAGGGTTGGAGGAACATGGGCAATTGTCCCAACTACTGTTACCCTTCTAAGTGTAATCACACTGTCTCACTACTGGATCCATAGCCTCATCAGCATGGCAGGCGGAGGCATGGACAGGTGGATGGGATCTCCAATCCAGTCTCCACTCCTGGGCTCTGACTCAAAGCTGCACTCTTCAGGAGGGTGTTGGCCTAAATCCTCTTTCTCTGGAGCTTTCCCTTCAAGACTACAGACAGAGACAAAGCTGGGGGGTAGGGAAGAATGGAGTTTGACATCACAGTCCTCACTTCCTGACACTAATTGGTTGCCTTGGAAACAAGATCCTTAAAGTACAGGATGTCTTGAGGTGGTGGGAGGGGAGAGCTATAGGAGCCAACCCTGCCACAAAGAATCCACAGAGCTCCTAAGAATGAAGCAGAGCTGCTCAGAGTCCCTCTCCTCTGCTGATTCTCATGCCTAGTGTGCAAGGAGAAAAGTTTACCAGCTCAAGGAAAATGCCTCAGGCATTGGTACCCAGATTTCTTAGCTTGCATGGTCCTTAGCCAGGCTCACCCAAGGGAAATCCTAATTCACAACTCCTACCATCTCCTACTTTATTTGGGAATCTTTCTTGTCATTGAGCAGGGAGGGAGATCTTGCTGCAAAGTCAGAGAAAATCTGAGGCAAAATATTATTATTATTATTATTATTATTATTATATATTAATAATATTATTATATAATAATAATATATATAGCCAGGCATTATAGTGCATGCCTATAATCCCAGTGGCTCAGGAGACTGAGGTAGGAGGATCGTGGGTTCAAAGCCAGCCTCAGCAACTAAGAGGTACTAAGCAACTCAGTGAGATCTTGTCTCTAAATAAATACAAAATAGGGCTGGGGATGTGGCTCAGTGGACAAATACCCCTGAATTCAATCTCCAGTATCCCCCCAAATAATAGTAATAATAATAGTAATAGTAGTAGTCAGGCCCTTACTCTGGAACAAGGAGACATGATATGGCCTCTATCTTTCAGTGCCAGATTGGAAGTCATTTTTTCTATAACACTGTACTGGGCTGGTAGAGCACTTGCCTGAAGCCCTGGGGTCCATTCCACAAAACAAGCAAAAAAAAAAACCTAAAAAAGTCCTTAACTAATACATACCCACATACATAAATACACACACACACACACACACACACACACACACACACTCTCTCTCTCTCTCTCTCTCTCTCTCTCTCTCACCTTACTACTTTCTGCAGAACTCTCTCATTCTTTTATTTGTTCAACAAGTTATTCTTACAAGCTTCTGCTATGTTGTAGCCTCTCTGTGCCAGGTCCGATAGGAAAACCCCAGGAACTGACTGGGCCCTGCCCTGTAAAGCTCACAATGTCTTATACCATGTCCTTTTATAGTCACATGTTCATTCCTTTACTAAATATCTCTGAGTTTTCTTTTTTCATTCTGGTTCCCCAAACAGGAAGCTCTCTGATTGCTGGTAGGGTAGGGTCCAACATGCTTATTACCTCTATTCATGAATTTTCCAAGAGGAAAACCTAAAGCCTGTTATTTCCTATCCTTGTTTAGAACTGTATCCCAACTCTACTTAACATTAAACCCCAATATTTAGGACCATCAGACTCCCATGTCACCCTACTGCTTTCTAATTTAAAGTTTTGGGAAATACCTCCCACTGCAAGCCTTCCAAGGACCCTGGATTTTTTCCTTCCCTTTCAAGGCCAAAGAGCAGAGGAATGGATGGAACTCGAGGATGAGAGCAGAAAGGTGTCCCTGGAGTTTGTGCACAGTACCAGACGCACAGTTCTGCTTCCATGCATCTATGTCCTGCTGTCACACATTCATATTTGTTGAGCAGTACCAGTATCTGTGACTTCTCCTAAATTGGCCAGTATAGGAGTGTGAGCATGTGTGTGATCCACTTATAAGCGTGAGTGAGCATGTGTTCGGGGGAAGGGGAATTTAGGGGTATGTCTCTATGTGTGTTTTTTCCAAATGCTTGGCTTTTTTCAAAATGGCTTAGAGCACTACTGTCATTTATGGGGTTTAAAATGTCAGAACAGGGCCCGCGGGGAGGCAGGGGAGATTAAACTGCAAACAGTGAAGGTTATAGATGACGTTTCTGATAGGCTGACAGGCAGACTCAAATGATGCTGCACTTTAGCAATCATTTAAACACACACACACACACACACACACACACACCCCAGTTCATCTCTCCATATTTTAATGGCATATTCTGAAGGCGAAAAACATAAAAGCCTATGTCTAGAAAACCACAACTCTGCTTTCAGAATCCACAGCTGCTCTGTGTGTGTGTGTGTGTGTGTGTGTGTGTGTGTGTGTGTGTATGTGTACATACTCAAGTGTGCCTATGTTTACGAGGTGAACACATGGAGTTTATTTGGTTTTGTTCTTTTTTTTTTTTTTTTTTTTTTTTTTTTGTTTGTATAGGTTAATTCCACCATACTTTCACATAGTTTCCTAATTAACAAAATGGTATAATTATAATTAACAAAATATATTACACCCAACTATCTAGCTGAGCATAACAATTTTTATAAGCAGGTAAGGTTGAAATGGCTATCTCATTGAAACTGAGGTTCAATGAGATCTGATGGACTGCTCAAGTCTACCCAGCTAGGGAGTGAAAAGGCAAGGGTGTAGAGGGCTTTTTATTACTTATTTAGCGTCTTTTTCTTGAGGCTGAGGCTCTCAGTGCTGTTAAGCATTAGAATCATCTGGGGAGCTCCAAAACCCATCAGTCACCAGGCCCCTCTCCCTGAACTTTCTATTCAATGACTCTGGAGGTGGTGCTTGTGGTTTGTTTTCATAGCCCCCCGTAATTCAAGAAGGCTGAGAACCACTGTTCAGGACTTGGAGGCCAGATTCACATAACCTCCCCTTGAATATAGATTCCAGTCTTTCCTCCTCAAGTTCTGTATCTGCATCTGTTTTCAGGGAGACCTCTCAAGAACGTCAGATCCTGTGATTCTCTGTGCCCCTCCCAACCTCCTTATCCCCTCCTAAGTTCTGCAGATTTCAGAGAGTGCTTGTTCAGCTCAGGCTGGTGAATGAACAGGCCACCAGCCAGGTGCCCCATAAGTGTGGCCAGCCATCCCCTAAGGCAAGAAACTATGTTATCCCACCAAGAGTAAGGGAGAAAAATGGCTCCAACTAGTCCTGTGACCAGGAGAAGACCACAGGGTGATAAGGACAGCTGCCTTAGCAACCTAGGAAAGAGGAAAGAGGAAAGGAAATGGAAAGGAGAAGAGGAGAGCTGACCCTTTGGAAAGCTACATTGACCACCTACCTGCTCTAGCCCATGGACAGTGCTCATCCCACTTGGCCCCTGCAAGACAGGCAGTATAGCACAGACATAGTGGCCTATGTTTCCAGGCCTGCCTGAGCTGGAAGCCTGGTTTCTGATTCCTAGTTATGAGTTTGGGCAAGAACTTAACATGCCTGTGCCTCGTTTCTTCATCTTTAAAATGGTGCTGAAAATAATAACTGCCTCATAGAGTCTATAGGGGGATTCAGTGAGTTTACATAAAGCCCCTAACATGGCATAAGTACTTTGTAGGAATTAATCTCTATTACTCTGTTTCATTTGATGTGTTTGAATCTCTCTTCTTGAAATTTTCTCCTCCCTTTATTCCATAAAACTCCTCTTTCCTGTTTTTCTTTATGTCTTCCCAAACATTCCCTCTCGGTATCCTTTGCTCATCCTGCTCTCTCCCCTTCATTCCAGTTTGGATTCTCAGTCCCAATTCTATGTCAGACTCACCTGAGGGACTTTGACAGCTCATTCATTCCCAAGGAATCAGATTTTATTAGTCTGGGGTGGGGCCCAGAATCTAATGTTTTTCAAGTTCCCCAGTATACTACCAAAGTTGAGAGCCACTTTGTGAATGTTGATACTCTAAGGTTCCACTTGGGCCTCTTTCCTGTGGTTATCTTATCTTTCCCAAGTAACCAACCTCTTCCCAAGACCTTAATTACTATCCATATGCTGGTAAGCCTCCATATACTCTGACATAACTTGGTTTCTTTGAACACTGTATACATATTTCTAAAGGTATCTTTACTAGATACCTTAAATTCCAAACATCTGGAAATAAAAATGTTCTCTTAACCTCCTGGATATCTTTGTGTGTGTGTGTGTGTGTGTGTGTGTGTGTGTGTGCGCGCGAGCGCGCAGGCACAGATCAAACCTAGTGCCTCATGCATGCTAGTGCACTCTACCACTGAACTCTGACCCTAACCCCCTCTCTCTTGCCTGCATGACAGTAACCTTCTACTTGCTGGTCCCTGAGTCTCAGGGTGTTTGTTTGTTTTAATTTTGTTGTTGTTGTTGTTATTATACCCTTCCCCCATTCCTTGCATTATCCTTGAAGGTATTTTTCTGAAATGCAAATCACTCCACTGTAAAAGCCCTCAGTAGCCCCCAGCTTATAGGATAGTTGACTGAATCTTGTACCATTTGATGTTTGTGAATTCTGCCCTTTAATACCCATTCTTGTTCACTGGTGGCCTCCCTCCCAAAGTGACCTCCCTCTCCCACCCTCTGTACTTCAGTGGAGTTCTCCAAATATGCCAGGCTATTTGACACCTCAAGGCTTTCACATATACTGTTTTCCCTGCCTGAATGCCTTTCCTCCTCCCCACTCCCATTTTGCCCACACAAGTTAGAAGTTACTAACTTCTCAACCAGCCTTACTGGGCTTTCCAGGTAGAATGGAACACTTTTTTATTTTTTATTTTTTTGGTGTAGATGACACAACACAATGCCTTTATTTTTATGTGGTGCTGAGGATCAAACCCGGGTCCCACCCGTGCTAGGCTAGCACTCTACCGCTGACACAATCCCAGCCCCAATGGAATACTCTTTTGGGCCCCCTGAACCCTGCAATTATCTCTATCAAGTGACTTTCTCTCTGTTCTCACTTGCTTGCTCCCATGCCTGTCTCCCCAACTGGAAGGCATGGATCACATTGTATCCTTCTTGGAGCAGGGTAAGAAGGAATGGGGAGAAGACCAGACTGAGTTCTGTAGTGAGTTTCTAGACTGTCATGCTCCCTTAGTTAAAGCACTTGGTTAAGAATGCTCTGGTTTATGGCTCTAGACTTTAAAAGGCACCTTCCTTTTTCATGTAATAGGACAAAGATGCGAAACATGAGGAAGAGACCTAAATTAGCCTCTGACC